TCTTAACCAGTTTGCATATGTGATCAGATTAAACATTATATTTGTTTTTCCTGAACCGCTGGAACCAACTAGTATAGCACGTATAGTATCGGGTAATAACGAACCGTGTCTTGATGGTTTTGTTACTACCTGATCATTTACATTTATAACATACAATTTATCTTTCTGTTCAATCAAATCCATATTATTTTCTTATAAATACTCTAGAATTCTTTAATTTATAATCAGTTATTGATGACGCGTTCAACTCGCAAGTGTAAGTCAGTCAAGAGTCAAGACTGAAAAAGGATTTGTAAACTCCCTTATAAATAGTCTCCCGTTCGAAGCCCATGTTTCAGGCTATCAGTATTGTGGTCCTGGTACGAAATTAAAAAAGAGGTTAGATCGTGGTGATCAAGGAATAAACCCATTGGATGCTTCTTGTCGTGATCACGATATTGTGTATGCAACGAGTAAAAATTTAGACGATAGACATAGAGCTGATAAAGTGTTAGAAAATCGTGCTTGGGAAAGATTTAAAGCAAAATATACTCCTAGAAAAGAGAAATTTGTCGCGTACGCAGTAACAAATGCAATGAAAGCTAAAAGAAAAGTATGTATGGGTTGTAAACGGAAACGTGCTATAAAAATAAATGATATACTAGCAGCGAAGAAAAAAAGAATCTTAAAGAAAAAGAATGGTGGTAAAAGTTTGATTTTAGCACCAAGACAGTCAGGAGGTGTAATTCCCTTAATACCTATGTTTGCGGGATTGTCAGCACTTGGTAGTTTGATATCTGGAGGTGCTAGTGTGTATAATGCAGTCCAAAATTCAAAAAGAAAAAAAAGGTAGTGGTTTGAAATCAAACAAGAATAAGTTAAAAAAAAAAAAATGATGATCACGCTACCTGACAGACCGCTTTCGTCCCAAGATATTATAAAACATGTCGGAAAGTTGAAAATCAATCATTTCCGTGGAGTCTTTTCACGTGATAACTTACTTAAAAAACCGCATGCTATTGAATGTGTCATATTAAACTTGGATATTTCTTCAGGCGACGGAAGTCATTGGGTAGCGTTTTATAAAAATAAGGACAAAGTTGTATATTTTGATAGCTTTGGTGATTTGTCACCACCAATTGAATTACAACATTATTTCAGACAGTTCAAAATAGTACACAACTATTCCAACTATCAAGACTTCAATACGTTCAACTGTGGTCATTTATGCCTTGAATTTTTACCATGTATGAATCTATTACATTAAGTTTGACTGGGAATTCAACTATATTATCTACAAATAATTTTCCATCTATAAACGCTTACGAGGATTCGGAAATAGCTTTGTTATGTTTAAAGACACGTAATTTATTTCTAAATATAAATTTAACTAATAACCAACTGGAGATAGAAGTAGTTCCATTATTAAATCATACACATAAAGTAAAAACGTTTATATTTATTTTGGAAGAAGGGTGTTGGGAAATTGTAGATATTAACAACAAACATTCGAAAGAATTATTCCACTTTAATAATGAATGTAGAACACAGCTAACATTCAACGTATCTATTGACCCCATCGTTTTTAGAACATACATTAAATGTAATGGAATACTAAAGTTAAATACTCCAAACAGTATAGCATCTGTTTTTGGATTTGAAAAGAGAACCTATGAGCCAATGTATGAAGCACATCGGTCGGGAAAAGCTGCTAATTTAAACACAATTAACTCTAGAAAGGTAATGTGTAATATAGCATATGGATCATTCGACAGCCAACTTCAAAGTCATTCAATATATGAGTTTTTCCCGAGTGGGGGAACAGGTACAAAGGTTATTCAATCTCCGCTAAACCTTATATATTACAGATTAAACAAAACAGCTATTGATTCAATAACATGTGTTTGAACATTCACTGATATTGAAGATGAAAGTAGTGTTTACACTAATCACTTTTGATGATTCATTGTTATTGATTCACTCAGAGTGAAGGAAAGTTGGACAGTGGACACGACCCAACTTTGTTCATCGTTCAATGAGGATGATCATTTTTGATGATTCAATGTTTACATTGTTCATTATTTATTCACTTTGGATGATTTATCCAAAATGATCACCAAGAGTGAACCGTGTAAACGCGCCTTTACCTTTACGGAAATTGATTATCACTCGTTGTAAGATTATGTTCTACACCATGCGACCTATCAATCGGTATAGATTATTCCTTCGCATATAATAAATTTAATTGGCTAATAAGTTTATTGGCATAATTTAATTGGTGTAAATGTATCGATCCGTCTGTATACCTAATTATCCAATACTTCATTTTTCATACCTAGAAAATAATCTAGATTAACCTTGTGTTATCTCAAACTGTTGTTCAAGACCTTGTAATAACATATTTGTTTTCATTACACTATTAGACGCTATCAGTCCGTCATCAACAAAAATAGCTAAAATTAATGTTTCATTATTATTATGGTTAAATACACGAGTCCGATGTACTTTGTTCTAGATTAAATTCTAACAAAAATTGCCTAAACCTGGAATTCCAGCACCTTGGTGATTGTTTTAGTCCATACAAAACTTCTGTTTAATTTGCATACTCGTTCTGTTGAATCTCCAAATCCAATTGGTTGGCTCATGTAAATATCTTCTTCTAAATTACCATACAAAAATGCAGTTTTTATATTAAACTGTCTCAGCTGCTGCATCGGCTAGAATTGTCCTTATTGATTTATACCGTACAACTGGCGAAAATTTTTCCTTGTAATCAATACCATATTGTTGTCTTGATCCATTAACAACTAAACGAGCCTTGAAACGGTCATTATGTTTAATTTTAAACACCCATGAACTGTTTATCACATAATCACTCCGACTGGTTTTGATACCAAAGTCCATGAGTTGTTTTTATGTAGCGAGTCCAATTTTTCATTCATGGACTGTTTCCATTTATGTGATTGTTCACAAGTAATTGCATCATTTTAATTAATTGGTTCAGTTATAAACTCTATACATGCATATCTACTTGGTTTATTTATTTGTTCACGGTTTCTTAGATTATACGTGCTTACCAACTACTCTTTCTTATCTAGGTCAGTTTCATTCGTAATTATATTACAGTTATATAATAGTAAGTTACAGACCCCCCCCCCCCCCCCGAAATTTCAGGAAATAAGTTTTATTATTTGTTAGTTTGGTTTTATTTAATTTCCCACATTGCCTATTCGTAATATGAATTACATTCTCGTTTAGTGCTCGATCTTTATCTACAATCTTTAATCGGACCCATAGGCGTGCGCACGGGGGCAGCAGAGGCAGCATATGCTGCCCCTGGACGTACTTTGGGGCCACCGGGGCCGGCAAATATTAAATAATGGGCCTCGGTAAAATTATATTTCCACAAAGGATTTTTTTTGTTTTGATAAACTATAGATAAATATTTTATATATATGCTTGTAGAAAAGTACACCTTTAGTGGCTTAGTACCTTACTGTACAACCTTTTATCCAAAAAAACAAATAACCAATACAATTTTAATTTTTATATCCAATAGTAAAAAAAGTAAAACTATGGGCAGGTTTTAATGGTGAATTTGAAAAATGGGCCGAATTAATCTCTTGCTGCCCCTGAAACCGGAGGCTGCGCACGCCTATGATCGGACCACTACATGACCACATCAAAATAAATATAGATTTCATATGAAACCCCGATGCAAGCCAATATCATTTTTATTACAATAGCAACGATGAACGAAGTTTGACGGAAGTGCCGATGCGATAACGATAATATAATATCTGAAATATCTTTTTTCAATTTAGTATATGTTTGACACTCGTCAGTCGTCTTGTCGTCTTTGACCTTAAACGTGTATTTGGCGTTCGCAAGTTTAAGTGTAAGTTTGAATAAGTAGTAAAACTTTATAAAAATGAAAATAACTAATTCTAATCAATCGACATTATTAAATTTTGGTGTCAAAAAATTTAAGAAAGATTTAATAACTGCACCGGAGAGCAATACAACTGTAAATCACAAAAAACGAAAGGTTAGTTTCTGCCTTTGTTGCTTCATCAGAGGGATTATTCAATAGTCACAATCAAGACATAGGTTTCTATTTAAATAACAATGCAATTGATGACGCTAAAAAGTATAAAATGTTAAAGCACCCGTGGATTCCACGCCAAGGGCGTCCATCTTTGAAAATACAGAGAGGGGACACTGCATATTTGCAATGATACAATACTTGATGATGCAATGATTAACCTGTTAACTGCTGTATGTAAGTTTACGTAGAACAATATTTTATGACTGTATAATATATTTACAATAGTATTTATTAATTTATCATAACTATATAATTATTTATTAAATAAATTAGACTTGGTGGTTCAATTTTTTATAAAATATAAAATATACAACATAAATAGTTCACTTTATTATTTAATTCTATAAGTGTCAATAACTTAACTTAATACAATAACTTACTATACTAGAATAAATACTTAAAAAATAGTATCGATGAACATTAAAACAAAAACTGTAAATTCCTTTTGTTTTTTGAAAATTCGTCCACTACACCTTGAATTAAATTTAAATCATCAATTTAAATAGTCAATTTAAATGATAGTCGCTGCTCCGTCATAATAGACCTTAACCACGTTTTTACACGGCGAAGCGAACAAAATGATCTTTCGATCGTACATGTGGTCAGAGGCATGGTCATATAAATTATGATACATTTTTTAACAGATGGAAAAAATTCACAATCCTTAAGATTGTAAGAAATATTACACTCTTCATTAATTTTAGTTGAATTTTCAGTAATATTCCAGTAATCATACTATGTATTACCTTCTACTATAAGATTATCAATGTTGTATAAATCCTTTATGTTTTTAGAGTACATATGAAATCACTTTTGCTTAATTTTATTACTTCAGATGGATGTAAATTACTTATTTTAAATGGAATTTCATTGGATTGCGTGAAGCGAGATTCTATAGAATTAATTAAAGAATCTAAATATGGTAAAAATAATGAAACTCTATAGTATTGTTCAAGTGTGGTAACGTTATGATTTGAGCGATTTGTTTGTTTGATGGTCTTGGAATTTTAATTTCAATGTCAAGATTATTGGTAGTCTTTTTAATAGTTTCAAAAATATTATTGAAATGTCTATCACATTGAGTTCTATGCATCCTAAGAATTGACAGTAAACTAGTCTTGATGTATTGATGCACAGTATACAAATTAGTTTTAACAGACTGCAATTTATTGAAAACTGGCTCTAAAATCGATGAATATGTTGAAATTATAATCAAACATACAACAAATGTGTCTTTTGATGAAGCACATGATAGCTGAAATGCTCGTGATCGAGTAGATGAATTAATATCCTTATTTACTGCTAATTCATCAAGAGCTGTTTTTATTGCTATGAAATTTTCATAAAATAAGCGTATTGATTTATATTTTTCTGACCATCGTGTTTCGCATAACAGAGCAATTTTTGGAACAAGTCTACGCCGAAGGATGCTTTCACGAAAAAAAGTTGATTATTTCTTTTACTGTACTGGTGGTGTTGCGAATTTCAGGTAAAGAATTCAAATCATTAACAACCAAATTCAACTTATGAGAGGCACAATGGAAGAAGCTTACTCTTTCATATTTTCTTTTTATTATTACTTGGACTCCATTTTCTTTCCCTGCCATATAGAGCATCTATCAAATCCTAAACCCACAAGTTTAATCATGTTCAGTCCAACATTATTTGAAAATTCTAATATACTTGATGCTATGGCTTCAGCATTGAGTTTTTTTAACTCTGTAAACCCTAAAAATTCGTCCTTTATGCTCATAGTTGACGTGCCAAAATAATGCACACCTAACGACATTTGTTCCTTCCCAGAAATGTCAGCTGTTTCATCCGCCATTATAGAAAATGCCATAGAATTATTGATACTTTCAACTAATTTGTTTTGGATAACTGATCAACAAATTTGTATCAATTCATTTTGTATTCGACATGATGTGTATTTAGTTTTTGAAGTGCATGTTTTAAAGTGATCAATGAGAATAGCATCACCAGCATCCATTCTAAAATCTAACAAATCATGGAAATTACCTTCATTTGAATGTTTACCTCTTAGTGCTATGTCATGTGTTCCGCAATAAACTATTGTTTTTATAATTTATATTAATTTCAAGCTGTTTTCTTCAATAAGTTTTCGGCTAGCACTATTTAATTGTTCTGTCACGTCTTTCTTTTTTAACGTTTGAGTATCATGAAAAAACTTTGCTGCAGCCGTGGATTCACTATGCCATCTATTTTCAGTATGCTTTTTAGCTTCTTCATGGATTTGATAAAATTTTTTAAAACCACGTATAATGAATGCTCCAAATGTACCTCTTAGCAAAGTGGGGCGAAATAGAACACAGTATTTACATAAAACTCCCTTAGCAATAGGGGAATATACCATCCATTGATACCTTTCTAAGTGTGTTCGAGAAAACCCTCTTTTAGCCGCAGTATCCTCATCTTTTTTAAAATCATAATCTATTGGCGGCACATATGGAGTAGTCAACAATTTTAATCTAAGATCATCTCAAATTGAATGAACATTGATATAGTACCCAATGTCTAGTGTACTTTCTACTATTAAACCATCACAAGTTTGAGATTCATTCATTGGGGTACTTGATCTTTTTGAGCAGAATTCATAAAGTCTTTGTCACTGACATTCTGTTCAATATTTGCTGTATCACTTGTATCTGCTACACTTTTCAAATTTTCAGTCACAGTGTTATTCTGTAAACATTATTCATTATTACAGAATTATGAAATACAATTTTTATATTGACTTTATTTATTTACATAAATATTGTTTTTAAATAGGCAGCATAAGTATAGCAAATGTAAAACAATCAGAGCGCATCATATTATTCAGTATTAGTGCATAAGCTAGTAAGCTACTGCAGTGATAAGGGAGTAATAAAGAATACAATCCATTATTAAAGCATTATAAAAATAAATAATATTAATACATTACTACTCAGATATATATTGTATTTTTTACTGTCAACCCTAAATGATAACCAAATAAATATTAGGAGGAACACGGTTTCACAACTTGACACTTGTTCACAATATCACTTGCACTCAAGTAATAATTGTACTTCTATACAACAATAAACTATTATTTTAATAATTATTAAAACTGAAATCTTATATTTACATAAAAACACACATTTTAAATTATATTATACTCTTTTTGAGCTGCATTAATTAGTAATTTTGCATGATATAAAATTATAATTAAATATACCTTTGTCGTAAAGTACGAATATAAAGTTGTTTTAGACTTCTTTTTTTGTGGTTCCATTGTAAATTGGTCAATCTAAATTCTTGAATCTAAAATGCAAAATGCTAATAAAAATGTACCATTCGTTTATAACAAACGTCAGACGCATTTTGGTAATTGTTAAAAGATATATCTTTAATCGTGATAATAATTTAAATCTGATTGATAACACTGATACGTGATAATTGATAACTAATAACGGTAATAAAAATGGTGAAATCACAGTAAAATCGATGATAATATAAAAAGTTATTCAACAATCACATAAAAATCATTCGACGTATTTTTCTTATACCACAGACTAAGATCAGTGTCTATATAAATAATAATAATATATATTATAATAGTATAATAATTATATACATGTATAATCGACACGGAAAAGCCAGGGGAGGGACATGTCCCCCCCTTACCCTCCCCAATGGACGTCCTTATTTCCACCTAGTAATTATGAGTTTCCTATTTCTCAAAACCGACGTTTAAAATTTTAAACTGATTGGTTTAGGCGCTATGCGTGGTTAGTTTATTCCAAACATGTAGAAGGTGCATTATGTGTTTTACGTATTGTGTTCGAATGCTTTTGCTGGTAAAGGTTCGCATCAACAATTAGGAGCTCTAATTAAAGTACCTTTTACAAAATGGAAACACGCAATCGAACGTTTTAACCAATATTCAAATTGCGAATATCATAAATTATCCACTATGCGGGCCGACGATTTTATAAAAATAATGGAAAATAAAAAAAAGTTTTATCGTAAATGAAATTGATTCTTCACGTAAAAAACAAGGTTTAGAAAACCGAACCAAACTTTTTTCAATTATAGAAACAATAATATTATGTGGTCACCGAAACATCGCTTTGAAAGGCCATCGCGACACGGTTCACATATATCACAACGATTCTTTAGTAAATTACGGCAATTTTCGATATGTTAAATATTTAATATGTTTTCAATCACGTGTAAAGAAACTACAAAATTCGAAGTGCTAATGGCACTAGATAATTGAAATGCAGCTTTTGATGTTTCAATATTAGAATTACTCTCCAATTGTTTTAAAGCATGGTAAATGCTCAAATACAACTCTTTGAAACGAGTTATACTTTCGTGACGTTCAATCCAGCGATGTTCAAAGAGTTGTATGTAGTATGTAGTAATTCTAATATTGAAACATCAAAAGCTGCATTTCAATTATCTAGTGCCATTAGCACTTCGAATTTTGTAGTTTCTTTACACGTGATTGAAAACATATTTTCTCTAACGTTACCCCTATGCATAGCATTACAAAAATTCAATATCGATTTATCTTATTGTTATGAACGATTGTCGAGATAACACGCCAGCCGATTCACCAGAACAATACTATAAACGTACTATTTTTTTGCCATTATTGGATCATTTTATTGGAAGACAGGTTTTCCAAACATCATCGTGTAATGTCCACTTTACAATCATTAATTCCTAAGTACATAACTCAAAATACTACATATTTAAACAAACTTAAGGAATGTGCACTGTTTTACAAACCATTATTACCTAATTTTGATACGTTTGATACTGAGATTAAAATCTGGCAAACACAGTGGCAAAATGTATCTGATGATGATCGCCCAAAATGTTCTACCTTAAGTCAAATTAACAGTGATTTCTATCCGAATATAAAGTGCCTTTAACAATATTAGCTACTTTGCTTGTAACGACTGTTACTGCAGAGCGTTCATTTTCAACATTGCGGAGACTGAAAACGTATTTGAGAAATAATATTGGACAAGACCGACTGACAGGATTAGCGCTCATGAATATTTATAGAAATGATAACATTGATATTGACGAAGTCATTAACAGATTTGCAAGACTACCTCGATAATTTTTTATATTATAAAAATACATGTTTTTAACAATTATTAATTTTTTTTTTTAAAAATGACGTTTTTTATGAGAAATAAATAGAACTATAATTGAAATTGTATTAACTACTTGTTAGGTTATAGGTTAAGTTAGATTATATAAGTACGAAAATGTACAAGCAAAACCCCCCCAAATTTTTTTTTTATGTGTACAGGCCTGCATTTGTATCAAAAACTCTTAGATGTTATATTTCCGGTTCTTTTCTGAAATAAATTTCAAACGGGGCTTTGTCATTAATTGGACTCGTACCTGTTCGGTTAATTGTATAGACAGCCGTATTAACACTTTCGGCCCAAAGTGATTTATTTAAATTTTTCGTTTATAACATAGTCCTTGCGGCTTCTACTATCGTCCGGTTCTCTGGTTCAATCTTCCCGTTTTCTTCCGGTATATACGCAACTGTTGTTTGATGACTTATTAAATACTTCTGTAGAACACTAGTCATTTCTTTATTAACAAACTCTAAGCCATAATCTGTTCGAAATACTCTGACCTTAAAACCAGTATCAGTTTTTATTTTACGTATCAAAGTTTCGATTAAATCTTTTACTTCACTTTTATGTTTTATAAAATGAACTATTCTAAAATGTGAATAATCGTCTTTAAATAATAAAAAATATTTTGAACCCGCAATAGAATTCGTTTCCATCCGTTCACATAAGTCTGCGTGTATTATTTCTCCCACAACTGTTGGGTTCGTTGTACTAGACTTAAACGTTTGTTTGTGTTGTTTACCAATTATGCACGCATCACAGAAAAAATGATTTTTGTTATCTGACACTTTTATATTATGTTCTTCTAATATATTATTAACATACTTAATATTTTGGTGACTCAACCTTGCATTCCATAACTGTAATGTGTCCTTGATAATAATATTTGCCTGTGGTTCTTCTTTATCGAGCTTAATGACTTTGAACTCTAATTTAAATAATTTTCCTTGTCGCTCACCTGTACAGACTATTTGTCCGTTTCTTGAAAACCCACACTTATTTTTATCTGATGAAAGCGTTAAACCTTTATCTAATGCTGTACAATATGAGACTAAATTGTATTTTAACTCCGGCACATACAAAACGTCTAATAAATAATTATTATTACATTTATTGTTCGTAAATGATAATATTTTTATATTACCTTTTCCTTTTGCTAACAAAGTTGAACCGTCACCTATTCTTACTTGAATTGGTTCGTCAAATAATACGTAGTTGTAAAACCAATTTATTTTGCTGCACATATGATTGGATGCTCCTGAGTCAAGTAACCAACTCTCCTCAATATCGTTTGTACAAACTGTTCCAGTAATAAACGCACTGCCGTCATCACTTTTACTTGCTTCTCCGTGTGTTTTTCTTATTTTCTTGTTTCCATAAGTATTTTCTGCATTGACTTTTCCAATGCCCTGGTAATTTACAAAAATAACAATTACCTGGTTTTCTGGTAGCTTTATTTGTATTTCCAGATTTTCAATCCTTCTTTGGATTATTTTCCGTTACTGATATTGATTTTTGATTTTCCATCACTGAAAAATGTCTTTGTTGTAGCCTTGATTCTTCAATTAATAATCTACTTGTTAAATTATTAATTGTTTTATCAACTGCTGGAATAGAGTCCCCATAATATTCAACAATAATATACAACTTGTTCACATTGCTACGGGCACTCCTAGAGCCAATGTGCTAGCCGAGATTGTGAACCGTACAATTATTCCGATGATAGCTAAGCTAGTACCAACCATGTCACAGTGGGATACAACTTTAATCAATGTTGAATAATATGTAGTGAACAATACTATTAACCGTTCCACCAATCAAGTACCTGCAATACTATTATACGGTGTTAAGCAATTGGGTGTACCTAATGATGAAATTAAAATGTACTTAGATTTTTATATACAAAGTAATGAGAGGGATTTAGTTGAACTAAATAGCAATAAGACAAGAAGCTGTTAATCAGATAAATAAAGTTCAATTACAAAACAAAACTAATTATGATAAAAAACTCAAACAACCAACACCTTACATTGAAGGGGACTTAATATTAATAAAATACTATGATGAAATTATTGGGGCTAATAAAAAACTAGTACCAACATTTAAAGGTCCTTATTTAGTCGACAAAATGTTACCCAATTTTTAATTACTGACATACCAGGTTATCAGTAAACACAAAATCCTTACAAAGGAATTATTTCAATACTTAACATTAGAATGTGACAACCTGGTCTTGATTATTAAAATAGCTAATCACTGTTTATTGTACTATTGTAAAATAAATTATGTACCAACTTCCATAGTTAATCAAGTATGGTTTATAAAATACTATTATTTATCATTTTATTTTTTTATTTTTTATTTTTTCTATTATTTTATGCATTCATCCATTATGTTATGCATTTATAAATAAATTATGTTAATATGTTATGATGTAAAATGTTATGTACTATTATGTTATTTTTTTTTATTATTTTTTTTTTTTTTGTATTATTTTGTTATTATAAATGTTGTATAGGGTTGAGGGTAACCCAATGTCAGGATGGACGAGTTGTAGGCCTATACTGTGGTGAGTGGTGACTATTGGTAACACTGCCTGGTATCTTTCGCCGTCCTGACTGATACTTTTAGTCAACGGTCAGACTAGACCCGAAATCTGCCGAATTATTCTATATTAATAAAACTATTCGACCGATGCAAATGGTCAGACTACAATAGGATTTCGGTTGAGTTCACCAGAATTATGCAGTAGTCAACATTATAGGTACTAATTTTACTAGTTACAGTTCAACACTCGACCACTATGGACGTATCTGAAGAATTGTATTTATTAGATACCAATCCAGTTATCAAGTATTTGTTATTGACTAAAAAAAAAGAAAAACAATTTTGGGTTAATGATATTTTTGAAGAGAGGGAAAAATTCGGAGAATTTCACACACTTTTCCCCAAGCTTTTGGCTCAACCAATTAAATTTTTCGAGTATATGCGAATGTCTCCTAGTACAGGGTGGTCAGTGGAAAACGGATGTTTTTGAAATTGGTATAACTGGGAAGGGCATGGTCTCCCAAGGTTGCTGGCACTGTTATCTTGTAACTCGGGAATGTAATTTTAGTGGTCATGGACAAGTTTCCCAACTCGGAAGAATTTGGCCCTATTTTTTCGAAAACGAGAGAGAAGAAGCAGTGGCTATCAACTCTTAGCGTTACCTCGGTATGCTCCAAGAATTTCTCATCCCTCATCTCGAAGGAAAATGAAGTTGACTTAGAAAAAATTTGGTTTCAACAAGACGCAGCCACGGCTCACACCGCGAGAGTTTCCATTGCTTTTTTGCAAACAATATTCCCCGGGCGCGTTATTTCCCGACATGGTGACGTTCCCTGGCCTCCGCGCTCCCCCAATAGCACTCCCAGTGACTTTTTCCTTTGGGGCTACCTAAAGTTAAAAGTGTATGTGGACAAACCAAGAAACATTCAGGAGTTGAAGGAGTCAATTAGACGTGAAATTGTCGAAATTTCGGACGATATGGTGAAGAAAGTGATGGGCAACTTCAGGGACCGTCTAGAGCAGTGCATCGCCGAAGAGGGTCGTCATTTAAATTAAATAATTTTTCACACTGAAACATTTTTATTTTTTTCATTTTGTAAATAAAAATTACCATGTTCCTCTACACATTCTTTTTACTTTCAACCCAATATGATCAAATTTAACAATTTTACAGACCTTTTAAATGTATCCGCCTTTTCTTGACCACCCTGTACTTTTTATTATATTTTAGAAAAAATTCAATCTTTTTTAGAAAAACAATCTAATTTTAGGAAATGCATTACACCTGCGGAAAAATTTACAGTTACTTCGAGGTAAGTGCTACAAATATAATAAATATTATAACCTTTAAATACATTAAATATGTTTTATTATTTTTTTTTTAAATGTCGACTGTATTAAAACATATTTATTAAGTACCTATTTTTGTATTTTAGAAAAATATAGAAGAAATAAAAACCTGGCTATCACTCTTTTTGTAAAAATTAAAAATATTCCAGTTAATGGATTGAAAACCGCCGTTTTAAACATAAGTAAAATATGCTCAAATTTTTATTATTTATATAATAAAAATGAAATTGTAGAACTTGAATAATGACGTGTATGAAAAAACTATGAAAAAAAATAACTTCAACCTGAATGTACTTTAATAATATATAATTTATTGTTGCATCCATTGTGCAGACAATGTGCTAAGATCAGTAGCTGTCTGTGAGCCCGTACTGTGTTGTCGACTAGAGACATACTGCATGTTGTAATGTTCATTGATGTTTGTTGGTGTGACCGCAGACTTTGAACATAAGGATTGAAAGAATTTTAAGTGCATGTCGATGATCTTGTAGAGTTTTATAAATATCACGGTGTTCCTCTTCTTCCATAAGTACTTGTTGCAATTTAAGTCTAACAGATAATTTTCTCTGTTTTGGTAAATCTCTGAGATGTGGTAACAAACTCATTAAAAAATGAAAATCTTCATCATCCTTGTAATTGTCACTATTTTTTGTATTCTCTTTGATATTATCGAACCGTTCAAGTTTTTGTTTTTCAATTTCAATTAAATCTGCTATCGGATTATTTTTTATTTTTTTTCTCTTCATTGATGTTTGTAAATTTGAATATACGGAAGACAGATCAGGATGCACAACTGATTCTTCGAGACAATCTTGATCTTGATCAATCTGTTCTCCTTCAGATACTATATTTTTGAACAAACTAATTTCAGGTGGTGATGATGGCCCTTCTTCATTTATTTCTTTTTGAATATTACAAATCGTTTTTCTGGGCATTATAGTGTCTTTTAAAAAGGTCATATTTTCGTAAAATTTCCATTGAGATGATAAAACGTCATGTGTCCCATTCCCAGTATTACGTTTTTGTTTGTTGAACTCTTTTCGAAAAGTGTCTCTTAAATTTTGCCATTTAGCTTTTACAGTTTCACCTAAAATAATAATAATAACAGTGCCAAAAAAAAAAAAAAAAAATACTAAAATATAATTACTAAAAATATAATAAAAACGGCGAGCAAGTGGGTATCGCTCTGCTGTACAGTAGGTTACAAGCGGGTCACTGTAATGGATAGTGTTAAATTTGAATTTAATGATATAATATCATTGTAGGTAATAGAAAAACGATTCTGATCGAAGACGGTCAGACAGCTTATGATATTAGTATATTACAAAGTATATTTGATCAATTGATCATATTATTGTGAATAAAGTCATTTATATTATATTATAACCTATTTACGTGGAACCTTGTTTTAAATTTTCAATCCTTAGCTATAAAAGTTGAACATTTTATCAATTTTTAACTACAAAATAATTATTAAATTTTGTCAAAATAAACATATGATATGTTCTAGTAATCTAGTGTATAGAAAATGCTAATATAAATATTCAGTCAACATTTTATGTATCTACGACCATTTATTTTAAAGTTACACCAAAAACTAAAATTGATTTTGCGTAAATATACCCGTTTTTCCTTAATTTTGCTTTTGTTTTTCACAGCGCTCTTGAAAACTACTGTGAAATCTTTCCTTAGACCCCCTTAAAGTACCAACTAGATTTACTTTCCTATCAGAAAAGATACTGTTGAAGAAAATCTAAGCATTTTTACTGTCCTAAAAGGTGACGACAGACACAGAAAAAAATAAATAAACTCATTATTGTTAAATCAATCACTTCGCTCAACATCTAAAGTGAACTACAGATTTTTGTGTTATAATTCAGAAATAAGGAAAAATTGTGTATTTTAGATTCTGAATGAATCGATGAATTTATTGATATTACAATAATGTGTTTTTTTTTTATTTTTTTTTTTTTGTGTCTGTGTACACGATAAGTAGTCGAAATAATGCTTCGATTTTCGACTTCAGTATCTTGTTCGATGGGAAAGTGAATATCTTTGATGCATGTGGAAGGTCAAAATTTAAAATCCCCAAAAGTTTTCAAAAGCGCCGGGAAAAACAACATGAAAATTAAGGGAAAACGGGAATTTTTACGCAAAATCGGTTTTTGACAAAATCGAATTTGGTTTTTTGTGTAAATCTAAAACAAATGAATATGAAATTTATATGAAATTTCACTGAATGTTTATATTAGCATTTTCTATATACCATATAATTTTGAAAATAATTTGACTCTTTTTGAGCTGTTTACGGACATTGTCAGTTTTCATTTTTTTTAGTTTGTTTTTCTATAAATATCAATTAAATTTTATTTGTTGGGTAAAAAAGCGTGAAAATTTAATGCAATGCTCCTGATATAATTTTACAATAGCAGTTGAAAAATATTAAAAATACATAGGCACATTTTTTTTTATAAGCATTTATTTTTGATAATAAAACATTATTATAATATCTATATAATAATATTACTTTATCTATAAGTATGTTCAAATTATATTTAAATAATTTTAGGTCGTTGGCATTTTCTTTTCGTATGGCCCATAATACAATTGGAGAAATTATTTACGATACGTGCAATATTATTTGGAAACTTTTTGCTAACATTCACATGCCATTCCCTACTACTGATATGTTTTACAAAATTGCTCAAGACTTTGAGACGCTATGGAACTTTCCGAATTGTGTGGGCTGCATTGGACTTGCTAAATATAAATTCATTGCTATAGATGTTGGAGGGTACGGAAGACAAAGCGATAGTGGAGTTTTTACAGCATGTAATATTTATGAGCATTTGGAAGGAAATACATTTAACTTACCACCAAAAAAAACACTTCCTCACTCAACTTTTCCTATGCCATTTGTATTATTGGGTGATCAAGGATACCCATTAAAAGAATACCTTATGAGACCATATCCTTTTGATAATAATTTGGACAAAACAAAAGAAATTTTCAACTATCGTTTGAGTCACGCTAGACGAATGATCGAATGCACTTTTGGTATTTTGGTATCAAAATGGAGGTGCTTAAAAACTAAAATACAAATTGATCCAAATAATGTTGACACAATCATAAAGTCCATTCATTTGATTCATAATATCATTATAGATCAAGAAGGTGTAGATGAATCGTTAATTTCAAAAATTAACCAAAACGTAACCAATCCAGATTTAGTTCACAGTAATGCATCAAGACGCAACAATCGTTCAAAACAAGAAGCGTATAAAATACGAGATTAATTCAAAGACTATTTTAATAATATTGGTGCTGTCAGTTTTCAGGATTTCAGAAGATAAAAAAAATTGTAAATTATAGTTAATATGTATATTTATGTAAGTAGGTAATAATATAATCGGGCGGGACGGCGATCACGGCATCGCAGCACAAAAGGAGAACGAGATTTCAAGGGCGGCGGACTCCGGTCGGCCCGCCAAAAGATGAACATCTCCACAACTGCCGAACATTTTTAAATGTTAAATGTAATATGTCATGTATAGAGGGGGGTAAGTCGGGGAACTGTCCCGTCTACCCCCCACGTATGTATAATTATTTGTTTCTTTCAAATAAACGATGGCGGCGTCGCGGAAGAATGCGAAAGCAGTTCCCGCGACGCCGTCGGTTCAAAACTGGAAAAAAAAAAAAAAAAAAAAAAGGTAATAATGTAATATACTTATTCCTATGTAACCTATGTATTTACATTTTACAAATTGTACAACAAAATATTTTATAATAATTATAATATTAAATTGAATATATAATAAATTACAGTTGTTTTACTTTTGACTCCCATTTCTACCGATATATCGTTCCACAACGTTCTACAGACGTCTCTGTTATGGTGAAATTTTGATTTAATGTTCCACAAAGGCTCTTTTTCATGTACTAAATTGATTAACTTTTCCCAGTCAACCATATTTTCGGTATAATATATACGGTATATATTAAATAATAAAACAAATTGAGTTTGTTATATACCGTTGACTTATAAATACTGATCAAGAGAAATGTCAAACGGCAAATGGCAAATATTACAATTCCTTGTTTTTATAAAAATAAATACTAGGTATAAGTTATTTTTATTTTTAAAACTCCCAAAATGAAAATAAATTTGAAAATTATAAATAATATACCTATGTTTGTATACTTTCATATTAATTAAATATTTCAATTAAACTATTTACAGCCGAATCGGCCGGAAAAAACAAAATATTTTGTTTTCGTCCGGCATCGGCAGTATACAGCCGTATTCATCGGATGTAATGTGACCGGTACAGTTTAATTTCATTATTTTATTTTTTTCGGATGTTTTCGTCCGTATTAGGCGACCATACCCTTACTTTTGTACTGTCAGTACAGTACACTGTACTATCAGTAGACGTAGTCAATTATGTTATGACTGTTATGTTAATAATATAATCATTATGATTTATGCCTATTGTTAGGTCCGGCCCACGATTAAAGATATACTGGTTGCGCAACGAGCTATGATAAGAACATTTTAATGTGGTCCCCGAAGTGTCCTTGATAAACTGTTGATAAGAATAAACAACTAGCGCTCTCTTTATATTATCACCACCACGATTAAAGATATCAGGTAACATTATCACAATTTTTTACCGCCTAAAACAACATGTAATTTTGAATATTGCTATTTTATTTCGAGTGTGTGCACGATATTAAAGATATATTTATTCTGTATTTCTGTGTAAATTTTTCTATTAGACATTAGTTTATTGAAAATATTAACAAAATGAAGTGTTGTGTGTCGATTTGTGTAAATCAACACAAATCGTCTTTTTTAGTTCCAAAAGATAATCTCTTGCTAAAAGAATGGGAAAGAAGTCTTGGAATGAATTTAGAAAGTAATTATAGAGTTTGTGCGTCACATTTTCAAAAATACGACATTATTGATCAATGGGTATCGGGACGAGGACAGTCAAAGTACACTGTAAGTACCTATATAAAATATATTTAAGCAACTAAGTATAATTCAATACAACACAATTTAACTAATGTATTATTAACTGTTATAAATTATAATATTAACTATATAATGCATAAGTTTTATATACACCTATGATTTATATATTATATGATACATTATACATCATAATAATATATATTTTAGATATGTTTAAAAAAACCTAGACTCAAAAAAGGAGCTGTACCATTTATACCGAGTAATAGCATACCAGTAATAGAACATGATCATAATTATAGTTTAATATCTAAAAGTGATGATATTTCAAATAATTCATCTGAAGAAATTAGTTATCCAGTGCAGAAAAAAATAAAAGTAAATATGTATACTTGTTTATAATATAATAATTTAGTTTAAACACATATTTTTTACAGCTTGAGTTGAATGTAGATAAAACTTTATTCAATATTGTTTTTGATAAATTAATAAATATAAATGTTCCAATGAAGTGGCTTAATGATATAGGTGTACATTATACAGAGTCCTGCAAACAAGTTATTTGTTTTTATAAAATGGGCTCTTTTCAATCAGACTATTATAGATATGTTGAAAAACAACTTGTTATAACTGAAGGTAAGAAAATATATTTAGTTATTATTATTGTTATTAGTGTACATACATTGAATTGTATATAATTATTCAAATATAGAATTGAATACATTTACAAATGGCCCAATTACTTTTTAGAGATTTTCTAGTATAGATAGTAAATTATTAAATAATTTATAATAATGTAATTATTTATTTAGATTCCACAATTACTTTACATATAAATGGCAAACAAATATTAACATCAGATATTGGGTTTCCTTGTAATTATACCCCCAAAAGTAAGGAAGAGTCGGAAAATGTTTTAAATGTATTTGATAAAATTAATGTTTGCAATGGAGTATTGCTTTCTGATGAATACACTCCTATTATAACTTCTTATTTTGGGCAAAATTGTATTCAAACCTGTGGTCAATACCACCATTTAAAATGCTTGAAAGTGTTGCCTGAAAAAGACAGGTAATTTATGAATTGTATTAAATGGTTTTTAATAATTGATTTACTAATTATAAAAATAAATGTTAAAATTGTATAGTAAATATTGTGTATGGTGTCAACGGTTAATGGACAGTATAAAAAAGAAAAAATGTAGGATGTTAAATGGGAAAAGTTTAAGGCCTAATTTTTCTCCCAATAAGAAACGAATTGTAACAAATCTACAAAAAACTAAAAAAGCCACTTTCAAGAATTTTTCAAGGGCAAATAGAAAAATTAATAGGTTACAATGCAGTTTAAATGATTTCAAAAATATAAAATATAATTTCAAAATATCAAACCTATCAATTTATTTTACAAATTACAATAGAGCGCGCCGTAATACAATTCTTATCAGTCAAAAGTCTAGGACACTTCAGGGGTCTCGTTATCATGCCTCGTTGCGCAACCAGTATATCTTTAATCGTGGTCCGGCCCTTCAGGAATCCAAAAGATGATGCCTTTGAAATAAACACTAGACAATTTAAAATAGTAATCGAATTGATAATATATCTAGAATCGCAAGATATTGTAACTCGTAGTACAGGGGCGTATTTATGGGGGTGGCTGAGGGGGCTTCAGCCCCCCCCCCCCCGAAATCTAGGAATTGTTTATTAAGTCTACTTATTATGTTCTACTAGATGTAAAATCGTAAAAGTTCAATATAATTTTATAAAGAATTATTATTAACAACGAACAAGTTATTCATATTATAATGTGTCAATGACGATTATATCTTTGAGTTCAATACAACGTTGATTTAAAATTTAACAATATTTATAAAGAAGCCAAAGATGTTGCTGAAAAGTTAAATATTGAGCCAAAAATACCTCGTATTTGTAGCAGTCAAAGAAATAGAAGCAATGTACCATCTAACAACATTGGAGAATATTACAAAAAATCGATTTTTATATCGTACTTGGACGATTTGATGATGGCATTAAATGAAAGATTTATACCCTACAATGCAACTATAACTTCATTACAATATATCTTACCAAGTATTGTAGTTGAAAAACCATTTTCTTATTTAAAAAAAGCTGTTCAATTTTATGAAAATGATTTACTGGGGCTAAATGACGTCATAGAAGCAGAGTACGAAATTTTGCAAGCTAAGTGGAAGAATATTGAAGACAACATAAGGCCCAAAACTCCTATAGAGGCTTTGAGTGTCTGTGATAATTTAATGTATCCAAACATCTATGAATTACTAAAAATACTAGCTATAATACCAGTATCCACCGCTACAGCTGAGCGTAGCTTTTCGACGTTGAAAATACTCAAAACGTATTTAAGAAATACAACTTCAGAATCCAGACTAGTGGGACTTGCCCTTTTAGCTACCTATTCATAGAGACATTGACATGCCAGATGAAATTTTATTAGATAAACTTGCTAACAGTGGCAAAGAAAGAAATTTAAATTTGATTTGATTTGTTATATTAATATCGTATTATTATTATGATTATATATTATTTCATTATTAATTTTTTGAAAACATTAAAAATCATGACAATAATTAAAATGTGTACTAATTTTCTAACTCTTACTTTTAATAGGCTGAATTAGGGAATTTCAGTTGGAGAATACCACAGCCCCCCCCCCCAAAAAAAAAAAATATCTAAATACGCCACTGGTAGCGTGTATAATCTCGACGTAGATGTATAAAATAGCTGGTGGCGTCAAGTGGCTTCGGTCTTGCAGCTCAGGTACATCTGATCTTGCTGTTCTCCTGGCCTGTATATATATGATTTCGGCGCGTGGACCTAGGTGTCCTTGAGGTAGTTGTAGCGGTTTTGAAAGCGGCTTATTCTGGTAGAGAAACTACTTTTACGAGGCCACATTTTATGGAAAGTGGTTCCTGTCGCGGATTATAATTATGAGGAGATTATTACTTGTGTAGTAAATGCGTAATTATTTACACTATTATGTCTGTTATGATTTTATTCTTAAATAAAGTATTATATGATTAATAATTATAACCAATAATAATTTTTCATGTTTTAATTTAATTATAATATGCACATGTAGTTACCTATATAAAATTCACATAGTTATACCAGTTGGTCTGAACACCATCAATTTATTGACGCGCCACGCACATGACACCTAGCCAGTGGCGTCCGCAGGGGGGGGGGGGCTAAAGGGCTGAAGCCCCCCCCCATTGCCCGTATTATTGTTACTTTTTCAAAAAAATATTAATCAAGTTAAACTGTCAACTATAGTAAGCAAGAAGTAAATTTCATATATGTTTTACCAGAATGAATTCATTTTTGAAAGAACATTGTATTTGCATACCAATTTTCATAAATTATCTGTAATTTTTAGGTAAAAGTATGAACTACTTGTATGAAAGAACTTGTATTAAATTGTCTTAGCTATATAATATATTTTATATTTTATAAGTTTTGAACTACAAATTAACTGTCATTTTGACAAAATTTGAACTTTAAATGCTTATAAGAAATAACCATGGTGCCTATGTAGTGTTTGAAGTATGAAATATTCCACAAAAACGTGACACTTTGAAATTAGTTTACACAAATAAAAACACAATTTATTTACTTTTTTAACACAATGTTCAGTGTTCTAAATTCTAATGACAGAATTCAGTATTTATACAATAAACATGTATAATATTGTATACCTACTTGTATCATTTAAACATTAAAATATTTAAAAAATTTGAATACCATTTTAAATGTATAATACCAAAGGTTAGGTATACATACAGGTACTATATAGTTATGAAGGTAATTTATGACAATTATATGTAAATATAAAACTTATTTAAAAATAAAACAAAATATATCAAAATACTGAAATATTTCATTTTTTTTTTCATATTTCATGAAATTTTCAAACACTATGCCTATGTATCGTTAATATTTTAGCTATAATAAAATAACTTAAGTAGGGTGAAAAGGCCGCTACTGGGTCCCCCCCGCTTCACCACCACCCCCCCGCCTATACTGCACCAGTCTGCACCACCCCCGCACCACCCGCCCACCAAAACAGCACCAGTCTGCACCACCCCCACACCACCCGCTCGCCCAAACAGCACCAGTCTGCACCACCCCCTCCACCCCCCACCCACCATGCACCACCCCAATCCTATGATCGCGTACGTATCTGACCACCCTTTACCCCCACCTATACTGCACCAGTCTGCACCACCCCCGCACCACCCGCCCACCCAAACAGCACCAGTCTGCACCACCCCCTCCACCCCCCACCCACCATGCACCACCCCAATCCTATGATCGCGTACGTATCTGACCACCCTTTACCCCCACCTATACTGCACCAGTCTGCACCACCCCCGCACCGCCCGCCTACCCAAACAGCACCAGTCTGCACCACCCCCTCCCCACCCCGCACGTGTATCGGAAACGTTGGCCACTAACCCCCCGCCTCACCCCTAGCCGATACCACGCTTCCAGACGACATCACTGCCTTGCCACCTCCCATCGAGACGTCGTGCGACACCACCACCACCACCCCGCCGAACGTGGACGCCGCGCGCACGGAGCGTACCACATTATCACCGACGGTGCTGCCATCTATCCGTTAATTGGACGGACGCGGTTTTTCGAATTTTATCATATTATATTTCAATATTATCCTTATCATATTATATATATATATATACATACATACATACATACATACATACATACTTTTACCAGGATACCAAGTCAAATACTAACACGATTTAATTGTTTAATATAATTCGATGTTTATTCAATACAAATATCATATACATACATATTATATAGGTTATTGTGTTATAATGAACATGGGTGTTTATCACCCGACGACATCATACGATTCAGATTTACATATACGGGCTTGACTATTACCATTATCGCGATTATTACCAACATCATACGGTTCTGATTTACAACGACAACAGTCTCGAATGCCTCTATTATCACTACGTTTGAGATTAAATTCATTTTTTACATTTTCAATGAATTCCATGCCTTTATACAATAATACGAATACACATTTAGGGTTGTGCAGGGCGTGTTGCTGCCACACTTTGTCATTTTCCTCCCATTGCCCCAACAATAACCCGCAGTAGTGACATTGAACCAAATCCTCAGTCCCGGTATAAGTGAATCCGCTGGCGGCCAGTGAATATTTATCTTGACACGATCGAGCCGGGTGTGAATCGAATGTTTTCAACCTCGATAAAAAGCTTGTATACTGAGGATATTCCGGATCCGAGTTCTCATGTACCAAAAGCACTAGTGATCGGCAACCGACGGCACATTGTAATATATTCATTGCAAATGAATCGTAGAAAAATATTTTAAATCGTAAATAATGCGTTCCAACTGTTAACGTTTAAACGTGAATAAGACGCTTCTAACCAGTGTAACCGTCTGTAAGCAACTGTCGGTTATATGCCGAAAGCTAGCGGGCGTTGCAATACATATACAGAATAATAATAATAATAATAATATAAATTAAAATATTTAGTTATCTCCAGTTATCAGATAACAGTGTTAACAGTCGTAGGCAGATCTGCAAAATATTATTACCACCGCTGGTGTCGTTATCATGGTCAACACATGTGCATATTGTGTCCGTTAATTATAAAATGTATTATACCCCAGCGTCACTTGGTACTAGCGGTCGAATATTTCTACAGCCTTTATAGATACTGTCCGATACCCCCCACTACCCGACCGCCCACCACAGCATCCGATATTCGGGTCCACCGCCAGCGCATATGTTCTACAAATCAGACGGTCAGTGCAACTCGACGACAACTGGTGTACATTCGTATTACCTCGCTCACTCCGTTAAAATAACTTCTTTATTAAATCTTATTAAATTAAATCTTTAAAAATGTTTAACTGCGAGATATGTGAAAAAGTATACGTACATAAACGCGCTCTGAACAGACACGTTAAAACTCATGATGGATCGACGAATTCGTGTGGGATATGTCTCAAGGTGTTCAGTCGGTGGTCCAACCTCAGTATCCACGTTCAAAATCACCATAGTAAGTACATTGAATATTATATCGTTGATCCGGAAAAAACTTCTTAGTTATTTATACGCGAGTATAAAAACTAGTTTGAAGCATTTTTCATATCTCGAATAAGAGATGTTAAATTAGTTTTATGTATGCTGAACAATAAGAATATCACACATACGATGTTTTTTTCGACTCGACAATGATTTGCTTAACTCGGGGTTATTAATTAAATTATTTTTTAAAATAGCGATCGCTAAAAACACACACGAATTCCGTGACGCTGTACGAGTAGGTGGTGCAATGGGTAAATAATTTTTTTCTCTTATAAATAATAATAATAATAACGACACTATCTTAATATTAATAATATATGTTAGGTCGCACATCAGTCATAAAGTGGGCACCCCCAGTCACTTCACCGCATGCTCGGCCAGATGTTCTGACTCCGACGGTCATCTCGTCACGCCGTTGTCGTGCGGACATACCTACCCCCCAACCTCAAGCCTCATCATCGTCATTGTCCAGCCGCACACCGGAGACGGTTTCACCGCCACCCGCACAGGCTATCGTCGACGAACCCAACGCAAGATCCCCCGCGACCGCCGCACTACCGCTTTCGCTTTCACCACCGCCAACCGGGGAATTTGTTGCTCATACAGAAAGTTCTAGGAAAAATATCAAACGAAAAAATGTTCGCATGCAAAAGGTTAATACGCCCGGCTTTATTGAGATCGAGTCGTCGCTTAACCGCACGATCGTGTGGTATTTTAGGAAAAATGTCGATAACGTGTCCAGTTACCGAGCGTTCCTCAACTCGATAGAGTCCGAATTAGTCGCGAAATTACGCGAGTGCGGGCGTATTAATCCGATCAAATACAACCTGAAATTAGAGGCCACATACGTCGTACCAAATTTACACAATTCAGCTCAAAACCGTGTGTTTAAAACTTCGGCCCGTGAATTATACGTGCACAGTAATGTCGAACGTTTGGTCGATCGCGATTTCTCAACGCTCCTTGCCGAAGAGGATTGTTACGCCGGAAAGTATAGTGGTTTTTCCTTATCGTGTATCGACGGACTGCTCTTGGGTGTGTACGAATATACGCCTATGGGGGGATCGTCGTACTTACCGTTGCCGGAGAGTATTTTGAATCGGAAAGCAGTCATCAACCCTAAAAATATCGACCGGCAATGCTTCAAGTGGGCGATCCTCGCCAAACACGTGTCACATGACAATCGCACACGAGTAGGTGCAAATTATTCGAGGGAAGAACACCGCTACGACTTTTCTGCACTATCAACCCCCACCCCCGTGTCGGAGTTAATGTTATTTGAAAAGTCAAATCCCGGGACGAGCGTCAATTTATACGGCGTAAGAAAATGTGAGAAAAATAAAAAAAATAAAAAATCGACCACCCAATCTGTCGCATCCCCGCTGCGCGTCGTAGACGAAGAAAAGGAAAATCATTTCGACCTCCTCCTAATCACCGGGAAGGATGAAGATAATCATTACACGTTTATATCGAATTTTTCGCGACTAGCCAGCCCACAAAAAAATAATCACCAGCATGGATTATTTTACTGTAAGCGATGCTTCGCCAGTTTCGAGGACCGCCCATTAAAATATAAACTGCACGGTGAGCAGGCGTTGGAAAATCATCGCTTGTTGTGCGGTGCACACAAACCGGTTGTTCCTCTTATGCCGAAAGAGGGGGATACGCTTAAATTCGAGGCGTGGCATAAAACGGAGCGCTTGCCGTTCGTGGTATACGCTGACTTTGAAGCCCTACTACTGAAAACGGGGCGAAAACAAGGTGAAAATACCACCGCGATACACGAACATCATCCAATGAGCTACGGGTACCATGTTGTCGCGGCGGAGGGGGTGCCGATAGAGTTGCTAGACCAGTTCGACATACCACGAGCTCCGGTCATTTTCCGTGGTTCAGCTACTCAGGACGATGTTGCCAAACGCTTTGTCAGCGACGTACTCGGTGTGGCCGAAAAGATAGCCAGATTATATAAGGAAGTAAATGTACCGATTATTATGAGTGTTGAGGATTGTCACGTGCATGCCGTCAAGACAATGTGTGACTTGTGCAGCTGCACGTTTAGTGAACGCAATTGTAAAACTGCACACCACGACCACTTGTCGGGACGTTTTCTAAAAACATTGTGCAACACGTGCAACCTCAAATTAAAAACACCTAATTTTGTACCATGCTTCCTACATAATCTGTCCAACTATGACGCGCATTTTATCGTGACAAATTTGGCGAACGACGACGACAACAATAACCGAATATCGGTAATAGCGAACACCGAGGAGAAATATATCTCATTCTCGAGGTATATTAACAACTCGTTCTCCGTCAGGTTCATAGACACGTGCCGGTTCATGGCGTCGAGCTTGGCACACTTGGCGGAGAACCTCACCACCGCAAATTTTGATAAGTTTCGCGAAGTCTCGAAAGTGTTCGGCCCGTCGGAGATGCAGTTGGTCACGCGGAAAGGCGTATATCCGTATGAATATACAGATTCGTGGGATAAATTGGACGCTACGTCGCTGCCGGATAAGTTCCAATTCTACAGCGCGTTGACGGAGACGCACGTGAGCGACGAGGATTATAGTCACGCGACCAGAGTCTGGAATCATTTCGGCTGCACCTCACTCGGCGCTTATAGCGATTTATACCTTAAAGTCGACGTGATGTTAAGCGCCGACGTGTTCGAGAATTTCAGGGATATATGTATGGCCACATATCACCTGGATCCTGCACATTACTACACGTCGCCCGGATTCAGTTTCGACTGTATGTTGAAACTTACGAAAGTTCAACTTGAACTTTTGACCGATTTCGAGAAAATTCTGTTCGTCGAGTAGGGGACGCGTGGGGGTTTGGTTCAGGCTAGCAAGCGTCACGCGCGTGCCAACAATCCCGAGACGCCCGGATACAATGCGGAAGAACCCAACACGTCGCTCATATACCTAGATGGTGATTATAAAATATAAAATATATGTGCGCGTATACTAATCCATTTTTTACCGTATTTATTTAGCAAACAATTTGTACGGGTACGCGATGTGTCAGTATATGCCGATTGGGGATTTCGTATGGTACGCGGGAAATCCAGAGGTCGCGCTGGCTCAGTTAGAGTGGATGCGCGCGACAGACGATGTGGGTAGATTTTTCGAGGTGGATATAATATATCCGCAGGATCTACACGACGCCCACAACGATATGCCGTTCCTGCCTCACGCTAGCATACCACAAGGGTCCTCTGTGCGAAAGTTGATGGTTACTTTTCTGCGGAAAGAACGCTACGTGGTTCATTATATGAATTTAAAACAGGCCATGGCCCACGGTGTCGTAGTCGAAAAAGTGATTATTAATATAACTATTATTATTTGATGAATACGATTTTTATAACTTTTACACACATTATAGACGCACAGAGTATTAGAATTTCGCCAATCACCATGGCTGGCTCCGTACATAAATCTGAACACGGAATTGCGGAAGCAGGCGAAAAACAAATTCGAAGAAAAGTTTTTCAAAGATTTAAATAATTCAGTGTACGGTATGTTATTGTTATAAATTGTACATGTTTTATTGGACTTTAACCTGCTCAAACTTTACTTCATGATAACTATGTATATGTATGCAGGGAAAACTTTCGAGAATATGCGCCTAAGATTTGATTTGGAGCTTGTATCGTGTCCAGTCAGAATGCGGAAGCTGATAAACCGCCCGACGTTCAAGTACTGCACGACTTACAATGAAAATCTTTCGGTCGTCACGCAGCACAATAAAGAAGTCAATTTTTGTAAGCCGATATACATAGGATTTGCTGTACTGGAACTGAGTAAAGTTTTAATGTATGGATTTCATTATGACGTTATGAAACGACATTATGGAGATAAGATCGAGCTGCTTTATACCGATACTGGTACGTCTATATAAATCTCGTGCAGACTCAGCCAGATCTTATATATTATTAATTATTATTATTTCATATTTCAGATTCACTATTCTACCGCGTGATGACCAACGATTTCTTCGCCGATTTGATCAACAATCCAAATCTGATGCGGTTTATGGACACCTCAAATTTCGCAAACGATCACAAGTGCTATACAGCTACTCGGAAGCGCATTCCAGGACTTTTTAAATTCGAGTGTGGCTCCAGGACGGTCTACGAATTTGTAGCTTTGCGCGCCAAGTCTTATGCGTACGACGTGGAAGAGGAGGTCACAATTCGCGCGAAGGGTGTTATGAGACACGTTATTAGAAATCACCTAACTTTCGCCGAGCATAAGAGGTGTTTGTTTGCCGACGTAGACGAAGACGCGGAATCCGACGAGTGCGACGCAAATATGGGGAAAATGATCGCAGCCGACTCCGCGCTGAAAGCTGTAGCACAAATTCATCGGAACGCCTCAACGTCTGCAACAAATTCACCGTCGACCACACATCCGTCACACTGTTATAGCTATATGCCTTTTACACCGTATAGAGAAAATGTCTCTATACGGTCGTTTAAACACGAAATGCGTACGATTAGGACTATGAAATTAGTTTTAAACAGGGCTGACGATAAGCGTCATGTCTTACCGGACAACATTTCGACATACGCGCACGGTCATCACCGCATAAATTATTAAATTGTTATTATTGTTCAAAGATCTCATATCTGTATATATATATATATATATTTATAATCTATTAAAATATCTGTATAAATTGTATAATCGTGAAATGTGACTGTTGCATACTTATATAACCTGATAAAATATATGTATATGTGATAATGTATAATCGTGAAATACAACAGTTGTATATAAAAATATGAGAGTGTACGATGCTAAAATATTATATTAACTACGTTTTGTATTTAATCTCGTGTTTTTAAATTATTATTTTAGTATCGCAACCTAATCTTCTCATCCTTATCATATTTTATATTATGTCGTAAAGACATCAAGTATATTATTATTTAGAATATTAAAGTCTAGTTTTTTTTTTTTTTCCAAATCTAGATAATAGATTTTCACCGTAGAATACCAATTACCATCGTTGTTGTTATTATTATTATTGTCAAGACATCTAGTACTCCATTTAATTAATATTATAAGTAAATATTACACGACTCATTAAATGCGTATCGATATTGTTATTAATATAAACCTTATAAGTATTTAATAAAATGTATCCAATTATATTATACGTCTCCTAAATTCGTATACAAATGACGACTATTAAATAATAAAACCTTATAAATATAAAATATTTCACCATCTCGTATTTGCGAGGATAAACCTTATAATAATTATTAAATAATATATTTTTTAAACTCATCTCGGACAAAATAATTATATAATTTGTTAAATGTATATAATTATATTATACGTCCCTTAAAACTATAGGATCTAGATAAAATGAAAATAAAAACATATTTTTAAATTTTTTTATTGAAAACAAGACATAAAAATATTTTTTTTACGTTACATTAGACATCGCCCGAAAAACGAGGTTGAGCGGGTACGAATTTAATAATAAAGCTTCTATTTCTCGTCCCTCGAAAAATGAGGTTTACCGGGTCAGCCTCATGTTGATTATACCGTTGTAGTTCCTCACTCGGCAATTGCACCGACTTGGGGAGAAATACGTTGATTATCCCCCCGCTGGCCGGATCTTGTAAGACGCATGAAACAGCCGTTCCAAATTTCGTCTCCACATTATTCATGGATTGTACACGGTATTCGATGTCCTTTGTCAGCTCTCCGATAGAGAGATTCAACACGTTCGTCTGCCGCTGGAGCGAATATAAAACATCCATAGTTAACTGTGAACAGAAAAAAATAAACGTTAGAAAAAAAGTAAAATATTTAAATCAATTGAATTAACTCACTTTTTTAATTAGACGACTTGTGTGTGTAGGGTCGTGTGATGTAGTCGTCTTGATATGGTTGAATGATGATGAATTCAGAACTAAAAAAAAATATCGTCTGTTAATTTTATATAAGATATAACAATTCTACACTGACATTAGACTTTAACAAGACATTAGCCTCGTGTAATACGTCAGCATATAATAATAATAATAATTAAATAAAACTCACTTTATTCGTACGGATAGATGTTGTAATATTTATGACTTGAGCTGACGACTGATGATATCTGGAGAGGACTGTTTTGAGCGGGCGAGAAAATAGGACTGATTCAATATTGAGTGGACAGCGGACAAGTGTCCATCGTCATCGACGGCCACCCCCACCTAAATCGTTCGGCGTGCGCAATATTGTACCGATTGATATACACACATGTGTAAATTAGAGTGAAAAAGGTCGATCCTAGAGCGGATCCTGCGCGTTGTATACCGGAATGTGTCGTCTTGACCACGTGCATCCGTCCGTCCGTCGAATCACCCGACCTTCACAGTCTTGACCATGTGTGTCCGCCGGGGCGCCGACGCAGGCTGACAGACCCCGTCTATGCCCGTCGCCAGATGTGGCTATTTGAGCGGACTAAACTCGATATTCGTGCCCATAATATAAGGGTGAAATATAATTCCGTGTATATTATATTATTCTACAAATTATTTTTAAAAGAATTTTTAAGGAATGCGGAGTTGGCCGTGAGACCGTGCGAACGTAGAACCCAGATATCAATTATATATATATATATACATATACATAAATACATACACACACATATATATTTGTGTAATAAAACGCAGCACACGATTATATAATATAATATACATTTATTCCATAAATAATATGTACAGAAATTAAATTAAATTATATATTATATAGCATATTATTTCACGTATTTTTTTTAAACCATTTCAACAATTTGAAAGCTCGGTTATATGTACACTGTGTATAATTTAAATTCTTATGGTGTAAACAACACGGCTCGTGTTGTTTATTTCCGACAAAACCGGCCTCGTGTAGTTGATCTAGTCGTGGACAGTCCAAATCTACACCCATCTCGTACATTTTGACATTGGGAAGGAATCCTTCTATGATCTGCCGCTTTTCCTCGCCTTTCACGTAAATGCATTCGAAATGTAATGAATTCAAAATCCGCGGGATTTCTGTATATTGGACATCACCACAATCCCATGATAGTTGGTGATAGTTGCGAAACAACCACATATTGACGGCTTCGATTTTCGCTGTATTAGGTGTCCGCGAGTGTTTAAAAATCCAGTGTTGACTAGCCAGCCCCTCTAAGTCCACTACCGACATTTCTTTTATCATGTATTTCGAGTTCGGGCCTAGCACACACTGGATATCTAGAATAGCTGAGACGACATAATTCGCGCGATTGCTATTTCTATATTATAATATATAGATAATTATATATTAAAACGTCTTGCTGGCACTGAGCTTCGATGAATACTGATATCCATCGATTCTATCCTCGAGTATAACTATCCTGGCCAAGTTAGTTTTCAAATCTTTGTTATTTTTATTAACAATCTCTATGGACTCGATTAAAGATTCAATTTTATTATTGGTGTCCGAAAAATATTTATCGACCGTCGATTCTATTCGCATTATTTTCATTTCAATCACTCGAGCCCCGTCACCAAGCGTCGAGATTTTTTTCTCGTTCCCCTCGGATATATTACTATGTATAGCTAGTTCCTTTGTAAACTTTTCACCAAATGTAGTAATTTTCGAGTCGTTTATCTCGATTAAATCGACGTGTAACGCTAGCTCTTTTTCATATTTTTCACCCATATCCGCGATGACTTTATTCAGCCGGCTGGCCGGCGAACCTCCAAACGCGTCCATCGCCCCGTGGTAACTGTGATCATATTTTAAGATCGGACTTATTTATCCAACTATTATGCTCGTCCGTAAAACCTAATACACGCGGGCCTTTGGTGCGAATTACTTTTTCCACCAGATAATCGTCGGGCCACAATATTTTGCGTATTTCTTCGACGTAAAACCCACCGGCGATCGGGCTCCCCGTATAATCTTGGAGGATAAATGTACTAGGCGAAGTCTTATTCACTTTAATAATAGTAAATATTTCCGTAGACCAATTGGGTAAATATCCTTTGGTGAAAACGCCCTTGTACACGCTAATGCGGACTTTGTCTCCAACGCAAAATTTTGTTTTCACGGTTTTTTCAACATCGTAATTTAATTTTACAAGCGTCGGGTGTGCATCTGCCTGCATCGGAGTCATCCCGATAGTTTTGTGTGTCGAATTATTATAGTCATCGATTACAGAGGGTAAAATCCTGAACCACTCGTGTGAACCTCTGCTAGTGAATTCTTTAAACATTCGCCCCTTAATCGTGCGAATAACCCTTTCTACTATAGTAGCTTTGAGCACACTGAAAGTACTATACATTTTTATATCGTGCTTTTTTATTAAATCTTTAAAATTTTTTTTGTAGAATTCTGTCCCCTGGTCAACGTGTAACAGGTTAGGACTATTCTGTGCGAAGATTTTACTAGCGGCAGCCGCGACTTCTTCGCCTTTTTTAGTCTTCAAGGCCGTAGCCACACCCGTTTAGTAAAACAGTCAATAATTATCAGGATAAATCTATATGATTTATTCACAGCGGAGTATTGTTGCATGTCAGCAAGATCTGCTTGGAATAAATCGTTTTTACCGTGAACTACGACATGACGACGTGGATAGTTTCTTCGGGCCGGCGCGTGAAGTTCCGCGGCGATATCACGTTTAGACATTGGGTATTTTTTTCAATATTCGCGCTTCGACCAGTTCTTCACAAATCGATATTATTTCGTTACGAACCCCCGTGTTACCCGCTGCGAGCGACGAATACAATAGACGTAGTCTATCGACCAACTCGTTACGTTTATTCCAATATATTAAATTGTGTTTTTGCAATCGCATATTAATTCCCGCGCCAGTAATAATATTATTTTCTCCAGAAAACAAATTTGAAATTATTTCATATTTTAACCCTTTAGATTTACGAACACGTTCACCGTTTGACGTTCTATGCCCCGATGTCTGAATTAAGATCTGTTTATATGTACTTAAATCTGCTTGCGTATATTTTCTAGGCTCTGGGGTCTTCAGGAATAATAAATCAATAAGACCGCCCGTCACTGGGTGTGTACGAGTGTCACCTCCTATGTGTATCACGTTATCGATAAATTGTATTTTTTTATTACCCAATTCGAATATGTTGTTTATTAATTGTTTAGGTCCGTATATTCTGTCCAACCACGATTTGGTCCAAGGTCCAAAACGTGCATTCAAATCTTTATAAGATGTAGGTGCGGGCTGAATGGGCGGGAAACGGTTCACAGCATAACCCGCATCTGGCACCGTCGACGCCCTCGATGACAGGGCTGGCGGTGGTGGCGGGGACGTCTGCACAGGCGACCTTTTGATATTCGATTTTATCTCGCTCAGCGGGCCGATAATCGAACTAAATGTGTTATTAATTAACGAGTCCGTTTCAAATCTACCCGTTTTTAACGCATTATATTTCTGTTTTATATTCGTCCTCGCTTGAATTATATCTGTCAATATCGTAGGCGTTGATACTGACGAGTTGTTCACCTTATCCATGATCTCGAGTTAATGTAGCTAATTCCTGTGTGACGCCTTATTATATAACGACGTACTTATCGAAACCGTGTCTATACCGTCCATT